TATATATAGAAGTAAATAATTATTAAACATATGAATGGAGAAGCATATTAATTAACATCAAATATGTTATTTAATGTAAATACTTAGCATGCTTTTCCATTTAATTGGATACTGCATTATTTTGATTGGCAATTACTGTTGGTCGTAGAATCATGTTACTTATTTGTAAATAAAGATATACACTGCTTCTTTCAATCTATAAAAAACAGTAATAATGAAACTTGAAACTCTTCAGAATTTATCACTGTTTCTTTTCTTTAAGGATTTTAGCCATAAACTTTTGTAGGACAATTTTTTTTTCCTTTTCTGACATTCACCTGCAAAAGAATGTGAAAAGTACCCAAATTTCAAAAATTATAATTTTCCTATGTTGAAAAATGTATTTCCGATAGGTACTTACCTTCTTTCATATAAATAGATGTTCTCTTTCAGTGCTTTCCTCTATATGCAAAAATATTTTTGAATGCCATAAGCTTTGAGCATCCACATACTTCATAATCAACATGGTTCAACTGCATCTCACAAGCAAATCATCATGCTACAGCCCTCAACCAATAAGAGGGTGACACACCCGTACTGAAGCATGTGGCTCTCTCTATTGGGATTCTACAGAACTATTACTTCAGAAAAAAGAAGCACCAGTTTTCAGAGGAGAGGAGGCAAGTACTTATCAAAAATACAATTTAAATGACAAGAAAATTATAACCGCCGATAAGATACATTACCTCTTCTCAAATAAATAGCTAGAATCCCATATTGAATAGGCTGAGGGACCGGTATGAGTGAAAGAAAGAAGTACCCTTTGAAAGCATCCGAAGAACACCCCAAAAGGGGAGATCCTCGCAATAGAGGATCATATATGGGAGACCACACCACTTTTGTACCAGGTATACTCTATGCCCAGTGAGAAAAAAGGTGATGCAGACATGGATGGAAAATGTGAGGAGCACATCCAAAAGGGAGAGAACAATGAGTGGATAGGGATCTGAACCACTCGATATTTGAATCTTAATCCCATAGAGTACATGAATGTGGGTGACAGTAAAAAAGGATGTGCCCCTAGGTGTAGAGTGGCTACAGTGCGATGGACCATACACAACAAGCCAACTGCTTCCAAAACCTCTGCCACCAAGAACCAACATCCATGCAACATCAACTATAATACAAAACCCAGCCACCAGGAACGACATCGATATGGGAGTAGGATGAGGGATCTCAATCGAGGAAGTTAACTGCAATTTTGACAGCTCACTCCAAAGCTACAAAATCCCCTCGAATAGACCTATTAAGAGATTGAGCATCATATTGAAGAAATTCTCGTCATGTACACCAGCAAAACATTACCACCCAACTCTCAACCGATTGGATTCATTATTGTTTGTATCATATAGCACTATCAGATTCAGTTGGTTGCCTCTTTGGTCCACCACCCCAGCAGCTTGGAACTGGAAAGTGGTAAGGACTCCTATAGCTCACTAGGAGAAAAGAAGGGGAGAATCCACAGGAATGTCAACACTGGAGACAGTGCAATGGAAGACCACAAAAACCCTATCTTGAAAAGCAGACCACTCCTGATTTATTCAATCTAAAGAATGGTAAGGATGGGCAACCATCCCCTTCTGCTTTACCCATAAAGCCCATAGGTTAGTACAGTCCAGAACAGGCATATGAATGAAGCAAATCTTGTGGAACACCCCATCTGAAAATGTGTATTTAGTGGCCATGGATATTATAGTTGTTAACTCACTCTGACCTTACAGTGCACATTTGACTATCTGAAGTATACCTGGACAGGCACCACTCACCACAGAGTGGGATTCGTAAAGAAAAAAGGTACAAAATCCCACACTGAGCAAACCTAAAACAGCACCCATGAGGGATGAAAAATAGGAATGAGAGCATAAGAATATAAAACGTCTATTGTGGGCATCCTTAGTCCTGGAAAAATGGCCCATCACATTGTGAAAAAAGACAACATAGTAAAAAATGAAAGAATTAAGGAGTGATTGAGGTGGGACAGATTGATCACAGAATTCCAATCTGCATTGAGAATACACAATTAATGGAGGAAATCTGAGATGCAGGACAGGTAAATGATGAGAAGGTGCCAAACATACAACATGAATAAAGAATGCATTGGCTAAAGAGACAAACAAGCAACCAAAAAAAAAAAATATGTAGCAACACACATACCCCACGTGATATTGTCACAGGAGTAACACCCCCAAACAAAATGGGACTGGTGGAGGAAAAGAGCCATCTGTAAGTCCCAATTAAAAGTAGAAGGGAAATGAACTTGGTACAAGACAATGTCCCAAAAGCAAAAATAAAACGTGTGTAAGAAAAGAGTCAAAGATGGCAATTTTCCCAATTTGGAGTTAAGGAATAGGAAGGTATACCATGAAAAATACCCAAGAAATAGGTGGAATGCCTCTAAAAGGAGGAAGGCGAGCAATATTGGGAGAAGATTTGGCAGACCCAGAGGTCCTAAAAAATGAAATTAATTGTAAGATCAGATACTACCTATGTTAGAAAAAGCAAAGGATGCCTTACAAGAATCCAAAGAAAAAACTTCAGATACACACTTTGAAAATCTTTTGCAAAAGTTCAAACCTGAACTGAAAATGAAATCAGGTTCCTGGCATTTTACAAGCACTTTGCTTAAAGCTGGGCACCAGAAAAAAAAAAACATGGAATACACTACTGTCATTGTCAACTACAGTCTAATGAACAATGTATACTGTGCTGAGAAAATTGTAGAAAAACTGAGAATTACAGTCATTACAAGCATACAGGATTATCTTAAATCAAGGTTCACTCACATTTGAGAGTCAACTTTATTAAAGTATGTTTTGAATAGATCCAGCATCTTTTCCACCATCTTTGCAATTTCTTCCACCAAGATTTTTATTTCTAAAGACTTTTCTTTTGCTGTTTTCCTGAAACTATTTGATTTTTCCAAATCAGTCATATTGCATTGTTTCTTGGCCTTGTCAACAAGATCATCAGCAGCTTCATTTATAGATGCTATATCTACTTTCAAATCTTTGATATTTAGCCTAAGTTTTGCAACATCCTCAAGGATAAATTTCTTTTTCAGTGTCCTTTCATTCAGTACAGCCATCTCCCTCTGTTGATTGAAGTATTGGTTATACTTCTGTCTTCCACTTTGACCAGTTAACATTTGGACTGTCAATCCCTATTTGCAAAAGATGACTAAGATTAAGCTCTTTTGGCAGCAGTAAGAAATGGCTTAAGAAATCAATAGCCCATATGTGGCCAAGAAATGCAGAATCAAGAAACCTAGTCATCACAAAATTTTTTTTAAGAGTCAGAGGAATGAAGGTACTCATCAAGTTGTCATTTTGGTTTTTACCATATAAAGATTTGATATAAAACAAGCTCCATATCTACATTTTTTCTCTCCACAACAGAACTTGGATGTGAGTTTACTATCTGGGAACATCTTTTTTAAACAGTTCATTTAGATTTTCACAGCTTTTGTAACTGTGCTGGCTAAAAATGGTCTTCAAAACCTCAGCTTTCCACTCTTCTTCTTTTAAAACATATAAATCCACTATGCCCTGTAATGAATAAATTGCACAATGAGGTTCTGATACCTAGATGAAAAGAACTGAACCATCCAAAGGCTAATTACAAAATAATGCAACTTTTTAAAATGGTATTTGTGCATTTAAGTCAATGAAATTCAGCCCTATATCTTTAATATTAAATCTTACTTAGGAATGTTATTCACTTACTTGCTGGACTACAGTGTCGTGTTGATTTGTCACAACAGTAAGCCTAACTGTTGATGTTCTATTTGGCATCGGCCTGTATTCAGACAATATCAAACTGCATATGGTCAGTGCGGCTGCTGCTAAGTGCAATTTATGCATGTTAGTCTCCTGTTTTTTACCCTTCATACGGCTTATCACCACAGACTCCTCAATACTGCCAAAATCGAAATACTATCCAAAACCATAACATACTGCTGAGAAAGAATATGCCAGAGAGTGCAAAACAACCTAAATCTATTGAACTGGAAAATGTGAAATGTCCAAATTAAATACTGAAATTCCACAAATAATTCAAGAAACTGATGTCACCAAGTGTGTCTGACATCATTACCATAAATTCCAGATGTTCCACCAATCAGAATCAGTCTACAAACAAGAAATTTCCTATATGACTACTTAATTATAACATAGAATGCAGATAAAAGTAAAAATTAAATAAACTGACTTGGGGAAGAATGCAAGTGTGTAAAAATCTTCATGTTCATACTAATAAACCTACTTTGATAGTAAATGTACACTTTTCTCTATGAAAATTGTTCTTAACCAAATACTATTCATGGCTTTTTACAAACACTTTATATAAATGATAAAATGGTAAACATAAACACAGGAAAATACTACAAATTTAATTTTAACATGAAAATAGGTTCTATTTCTTTATGCTTTTATTTAATTTCAAACTATGATACTTTACTTCAGACTGTACAGAAATCTGAGGTTTGAAGTAGTAAATTACAACTAACAAACTACAACCTAAGCATAAAATTTAACAACATAGTAGTGAAATAGAGTCAAACAATAGAAACATACTGTAAAAAACCTGCAAAGTATTTAAACAAAAATGAAATAAAATGTAACAATAAAACAATATTTATACAAATTAAAAACTAAATAAAAATCAAGTAGTAGTAGCAACAAACTGCATAGCATGTTCACTTACAAAACTCAAAACTAACAATGAGCCGAGAATCAGTGTGAACAAACACAAGTAAATAATATAGAAAAACCTAACAATGAAATGTAGAATATTTAATATAAACCAGGATCTATTATTATACTGAATATATCAAAAAATATTATGAATCAATCTTAACATAAATATAAAAATTACTTGATGAAGAATAAGAGTACCAGTAAATTATTAAACATTGTTATAAGCACAAAAATTAACAAATATGTATATACATGTATAAAACTTACATAATGAAGAATTAAAATTACAGCATCTTCTAGAACATCAGATGTCAAGACCTAAATCACAGAGAATAACTTGTTTAAGTAATAAAATAATGCATAGTTGATATATATATAAAGTAAATATAACAAATGCAATGAGTTCTTCATTTCTTTCTCTGTCACACTCAGCCAGTCTATAATGTATATACAAATGTAAATTCAAAAACATCAAACACAGTGTGGTTGAAATATTATTATACATTCTTCTAATTCTTGACAAGGGACTAGATATAGACTGCAGTGTTAAAAAATACAACAAGCCTAATATTAATAGTTGATGATAAGTAAATTAATCATATTTTACCTACTTGAAAAGGCATTCACCTCATCATAACTGTTGTGTAACAAATGGTTTATATAAATAGTGATCTGCCCACTACCATGTATGTTGTGTCCCAGCCAGGCTGAAAATCTCTGCATTGAGTAAAATGCATTGTCGGCAATGGATACAGTGAACACAGTGTGATTTGAATACTATTATTATTATACACTCTTTTAATTCTTGAAAATCTCCGACTAGATACAGAATGAGGTGTTAAAATATATAATAGACCTAATACTGATGTCTGATGACAAGTAAATTAAAACCAGTGATAGTAATACATGTTTTCATTATTTGATTATCAATTTATTTGATTTACAGAAGATCAGTGTGGGATTACTACATACTCTAAAAGCAAGCATAATGGCAACTATATGAAGGTGTTTCACTGACATCATGGATTCATTTACCATGTAGAAAATACCCAGATTATATTTAACGACAACAAAAAATTGTGGCAAAATATTCTTATTAGACAAAAAATATGTTTTCCACAAAAAAGAGTAATACCATGAAAAAATAATGCAGTGTTTGAAAAAGTTATCAAGACAGCATACACCCATTTTCTTTTGCTTGTAATAGGGGAGAGGGATTAGAAGCAGATGTACACTAAGCAATTAATGAGCCTGTCAATTACTCAATTAGCAAATACCACTAATTTCCCAGCTGTAACACTCATAGAAGAAACACCCTGATTTGGAACTTATACAAAAATGGAAAGAAAAACAATACATTCACACATACATGGGCTAAGAATAAGAGCAAGTAAAATCTGAAGAGAGTATGATTAGTAATGGCAGAAATCTTACTGGTTATTTGCTGGGGATTAGTAATGGTAGAAATTTTACTGGTTATTTGCTGGGGATTAGTAATGGTAGAAATTTTACTGGTTATTTGCTGGGGATTAGTAATGGTAGAAATCTTACTGGTTATTTGATGGGGATTAGTAATGGTAGAAATTTTACTGGTTATTTGCTGGGGATTAGTAATGGTAGAAATTTTACTGGTTATTTGCTGGGGATTAGTAATGGTAGAAATCTTACTGGTTATTTGCTGGGGATTAGTAATGGTAGAAATTTTACTGGTTATTTGCTGGGAGATATCTCATAAATTTAAAAATACAATCAGAAACAAGATGTCAAACATAGGTATCAACTTTACATACTGACTTCTTTGGACTTTTATGTTATCTGACAATATTTTTATTTTAGAACTCACTGTATAGTTCTGTTGGGCACTCAAGACCTCAGTTACAACAACTAGTGCATTAAGTGTAGCAGCTCCACTGCCAATGTTGTCAGCAGGGTCCTGAACAACCAGAAGGATAGTACTTTCTTCAATTTTTCCTTTTTTCTTCAAACACTCCAGCTCTGAAATGAAAAGTTTTTTATATATTTGCATCATTTTATAAAATAATCGATAATTAAACTTTAGGCTCTCTCAGGTAAGTGAGAATGAATCATAAACCAAAAGGTTTCACTTCTTTAGCAATGCTTTCTTGGTTAGAAAATTGTTTAAAGTCATATGTGATAAAGGGCAATCATAAAGGTAATGGGGAATTCTACCATATAAAGCAGTGTCCAGGAAAAAATACATGGTCGTATTTGTATATCTATCATTTCATATCTGTTCCTTACAAATTTCCATATTTCTTGATAAATCGGCACCAAACTGGACACAGTAATACAAGATGACATGAGGAAGGTCACGTGTGTGTGTGTGTGTGGGGAGGCATCTAATTCTATACTGACAGAATTCTTGAAAACCAGTATGTCTTTATCTTCAGTATTGGTACCTTTATGTATTTTTATTGCACTTTTAATGTTTATTATTTTAATAAAAAAAATAGAAGCACAATTTCCTATCCAATTTTTTAAAAAGGAGTTTTTATTTCACCCATCCAATGGACAGCTAGTTCTCTATAAATATTTATATTAGGTTTGTGTATTTTTATTAATAATTCTTCCTTAACTTTTCTTATGTATACACAGTTTTTTTACCAAATCTCTATGTTTTGTATATTAAATTTTACAACTAAGTTTTTTCTTAAGTGTTAATTTATATGTGATGGTCCTTTTCAGTTTTCATTAATTTATTTTTTAATATTACTACTAGTCTCACCAATACATTTACCAATTTACAATCTTCACAGTTAATTTGATATAGATAGTTCCTTTTTGTGTATAGTTTTCATTATTGTCAGTTTTGTTTAGTAAATCTTTTATTTTTAGTCCAGGTTTTTATATGTATTATGCATTGAACATATTTGTGTGTGTGTGTGTGCACTCACGTGTGTGCTCCATATTCTTATTATATAAAATTTTCATCAATGTTCTATGTAGAGGATACTTTCTAAGATTTAGTTCTTTTTTATTTTATAATCTTTATTATTGATATTTTTGTTTTACTTCTTTTATTTATTTATCAATGACTTTTTCTAAACAACTATTAAAACAAGTTGAAATATAATTTATTTCATCTTCAAGAAAGATAAACAACTTCAGTGATATGTTATTTTATTTTAGCCAACTTTTCAGCTTATACCTTATTTGAGTCTTTAAGCATCACAGGTTACAAAACTGATTTCAAATCATTGTTCCAAAAAGAATGACTAAGGCAATGGATATAGGAAACATAATGTGGTTGAAATATTAGTATACACTCTCTTAATTCTTGAAAATTTCTGAGAGGCAGGTAAAGAATGTTGTATTAAAAATATAACAGGCCTAATACTAATGTCTTATGACAAGTATAATTAATTATAATCATGCTTCTCCAGCTTGAAAAAGGCATTCACACAACAACAGTTGCTTTTGTTGTTGTAAGAAATGGCTTATACAGATATCGTTTTGACCAGTACTGTGTTTATTGTGTACAATCCAGCTTCATAGCTCTTGATCAAACAAAATGAGTCACTGCCAAAGGATATGACAAATATTGTATGGTTGAAATATTATTATTATATACTCCTCTAATTCTTGAAAATCCATAGGTGACAGATAAATAATGTAGTGTTAAAAAATGTAATAGGCCTAATACTAATGTTATATAACAAGTATAATTAATTATAATGATGCTTTGCCAGCTTGGAAAAGGATTTCACATCATAACAGTTGTTGTAACAAATGACTTATATAAATAGTGTTCTGATTACTGCTATTTTTGTTGTGTCCAAGCTAGCCTCATGAGTTCTGTATTGAGCAAAATTTGTCATTGGCAAAGGATATGGCAAAACAGTGTAGTTGAAATATTTTGATACACTCTTCTAATTCTTGAAAATTCCTAAGGGATTAGATAAAGAAAGAAGTGTCAAAAAATATAATGGGCTAATATTTATGTCTTATGTGTGTCTGGAAAAATGCAAGGCACAAAAATTTAACATGACATTGTTTAAGTGATGTTAATATTGTTGTATTAGCTTAGAAATAATCAGTTATTAGCTGAGGCTTTATCTGGATTGCTGAAGATTCCAGCCGTGTATACTTCAGAAAACCTAAAAACAAAACAAAAAACAAAAAATTATGGTAATTAGTAGCCCAATCAAATAAAGACACTGACATCCAATGTTTATTTTTGATATTATGTGGTAGTTTACTAAGGATGTGCAAGTCTGAACATACTTATACAAAAACAAATAATACAGTTATTAATTTCTAAAGAAAATGGAAGAGGGTGGTTCAATCCCCTGGACCCTCTCCCCTACGTCCACGCCTATTTATACAACATTAAATAATAATTAATTTCTGAAAAAGAAAAAAGAGTGGATCTAGACCCACTCCCTATATCTTCACCTAAATATACAACATTAAATAAGTTATTAATTTCTGCAACAAAATGGGTGAAGAAGGTTCAACCCCTAGATCTGTGCCTGCTCATACAGCATTCAAAAATATTTTTAATTCCAGAAAAAATAGAGGGGATTTAAGCCCCCTAGATCTATACTTGCTTATTCAACATCAAATAACAATTATAATTAAATTTCTGGGGAAAAAAAGGAAATGAGTATGGTTTGGATCTCCTGGATCCCTCCCCTACATTCATACCTGCTTATACAATATTAGAGAAAACGGTTATGCAATTATAAATTATAAACATAACACAATGTACCAAACTAGTAAATTTACACTTCATTTAATACTTAAGTAGCAAGAGAGTTGGTGGTGGGTGCTGCCAGACAGTTGCCTTCTTTCTAGTCAGCAGTGACAGATATAGATAGTCTATGTAGCTTCGCAATAACAAAGACAAGGTGAGCAAGTTTAATGTGATTCAAACCAAAGACCTTCAAATCAAGTTGCAAAACCCCTTATGTGGCTTTGTGCTTAACAACAAACAAACATAATGTTAATATTTCAATTACTTAGATAGCTGAAATAATCAAAAACTCTAATTTCAATTAGTTGATTATATTTGTGAGCACTGATATAATCATAATTTCAATTAATGGACTGTTGGAATAATCAAAATGAGTAACACTAATTTTGGTTAGTTGATTATTTTTGTGACATTAATCAATCAACAGTTATTTCAATTAATTGATTAGTTTATAAGACAATAATCACTTTTAATGACTTCTTCTAGCTAATCGGTTATATCAATTAATTGATTAAATTGTCCAGCTCTAAAAAAACAAAAAGAGGCTGACCTTTTATAATATGAGTGATATGAGAAAGCATTTTACTAGTAGCATTGGAGCTTGAGATAAAAAATCTCTCCCACAGAATGAGGATTGTTAGAAGACATGAATATAGAAAAAAAAAAAAAACGTAATCTTTCATGCCATTGTGGATGAAAGAATATTTTGACTCCCATATCAAAGTAATAAGAATGAAATGTACTACCAGCTTTGTCGAACATTTAGTCAGATCATAGACAGTGGAAGTCTTTTTGTCAGGGATACAAGTATGTTCCGTAAAGATTCCATAAAAAGCCACAACAATTCTGCACATCACCAGAAATGTGTAAATGCCCAAGTATTCACAGAAAATCCATGGCAAATGGCAATGGCAAAAATTGTTGTTAAGATGAGCATATCACATTTTGACATAATGACAGGGCTTTTTCACACTGCCTATTTTACAGCCAAGGATGAAATGCCTTTGAATAAATTTGCTACTTCGTATAAATTACCAACAGCAAATGAAGCTGAAGTTAAGGATACATGTATCAGTAACCATGCCGGTCATAACTTCATTGAAATATCTGCAAACACCAAGAGAAATCAGACAATAGATTCAACTGAACAAAGCTAGTTCATGTTGGTTTTAGCTGATGGAAGTGCTGACTCCAGTTTTAGTGAACAGAAAAGAAGCTATATTAAACTTGTACAGGACAACAGTGCAGTTACAAGTAAAATGGTCAAACATAACTTTGTTAAAAATGGAAATGTACCTGGTGTTTTATGAGTGATAACTTAACGGTGTAGGAATTGGCCAGGAAGTGTGTCAGAAGAAAGTTATCAGTGTAAACTATGATGGAGCTTATGATGGGACAGAAAACAGGTGTATGTACTACAACAGTAATAATACAGTGTATAGCTCACAGATTGGAATTGGCTATGCTTACATACATTCAAAAATGTATCTTATTTAGATACACCTGAAGAAGAAATGAAATTTATGTTCACAATGTATTACTATTCTTCAAAAAAAAAAGAGGTGTGAACTGATGAAAATAGAACTTGCTGATGAGAAGTTTGCTCATTTCAATGGAATTAAAAGGAAAGGAAGGCTATCAAGCACTCAGAGGAATTTGATGGGGATTGAGAAAACTGCACTGTTTTTCATACAGATAAAAGTAAAAATGTAGAGATGAAGACAAAAAAGCCTGTTCACTTTATGCTTGACTATAGCAGTATATTAGCAAAATGCAGCACAAGTTTCCAGCATAACAACATTAACATTCCAAAGGTTAATAATTCTTTTGAAGAGCACAACCTTAGGCCTACTATGGCTCAAGATGGCACAAAGATTAACAGAAATAACTCACTGGCAATCTTATGAAAGGTAAGTATATATTCCCTGTTATTAAAAAAACACTAACAGTTTGTTCAAAATAATAATAAAAGTATTAAGTATACTTCCCACCAGTAATGGCATTGGGTCAAAGCATAGTAGTGGCATTATTTTTATTATTATTCAAAAGTAACATCAAGAAATAAAGCAACTACAGTGTGTGTGTGTGTGTCTGTCTGTCTGTCTGTATATACAAACACTTGACAAACACTCTCTGTACTGTAAATTAGAACTCTTCCTAAGTCAGTTTTGATTTACTATGATAAAAATCTGTTAGACTGGAAGGTATTTAAATAAAAGCTACTTGCTGTCAATGCTGTGATGGTAATGGGAAATTTTTGAATGTGCTGTAATAACACTAAAAATAAATGTAATTTGATATAAGGCTGGATGGTTAATTGTCTATTGTCTACTAAATTAGTCTACTATTTTTGTATGAAATCTTTTCAGAAATTGGTTAAAATAAAGACTTGGAGGCAGACCAACCTTGCAAGTCTAAAAAGTTTAAAATATGACCAATTCCTTAATATCCATGATAACAATAATAACCAGCATAGATTCTATTCTTTAAATACACAATATAAAAGGCATGCAACTTGCAATATATGGCCAAGTTAAACAAGATAAAGCTGAGACTAATATGGCCCCTGGAAATACCAAAATTGTTACTGTTATTTCTAATGCTAGGTGGCTATAAAAAAAAGCTTTGAAATGTTTGCCATCACATAAGAGCAATAAAGTACTCAACTTAAAAATATACATTGTTATACTTTAGATATGCAAAAAATGACAATCAAGGTACAAATTTGCATCTTGAGACTGAAGAATGTAGTGCTTCAGACTGCCTTGTTTACCCAGTGAAACTCTTTAAGCCTTCTTGCTCAAGAGTCTCTCAACTCCTGGCATAAAAAATAAATCTACTTGTTTTGTTCATCAATGAACTTCCTTCATGAGGTCCCACAGTCATTTTTTTCCAATGCCACTGCTGCTTACTTCTTGAAATCTTTGCAATCTGACAGGACTAATATCTCAATTAGCCTAGTAAAAATCAGAGGTCTTAATTACTGACTAAGAATGATCAATAATTAAAGTCTATTTTATTTTATTTATTTTTCATGGATTAATTCATTTTAAAAGTGATATTTTAAATGTAATTGTGAATCTCTTTAAAGTTACAGTAATCTGTGTTTCAAGTGATCAGAGTGACGTGATATATAATTGTCTCCAGCTGATGAAGGATAATAAACCAGCCCAATGCTCCTGACAAAAAGTAGATTCTGTACCATGAAAATCTTATTATACTAAACTAATTGATAACAAAGTAAAAATACATGGATGAGAGATTCCAGAGCTTCACCAAAAATCCCCTGCCTTTCTTCAGCATCTCTGATGTGTCTCTACTACCATGTGATCAAGAGAAGCTGGCTACAACAAGCTAGCTGAACTAGTAAAGCACTTGGAAAATGTTCTGACAGAGGAAGAATCTGACCTAATCCTACAAGAATGGACTGATATCAAAATCTTGTTAGCTGCTAATAGAAGACTTGTTGCAAAAGAACCATCATCACCTTAACTCGCAACCTGGTTTAAATGAATTTACTCCTTACACTCAGCCCTTCAACAGCCATCTGTTAAAAGAGGATTTTCCTACATGAACAGAGTGAAAAATTGCTATTATACATCTCTGAAAGATGAGAAATTAGATAATCCAATGTTGCTAGTTGCAATGTTAGCAGCTTCTTTCCAGACATATCTGAAAAATATTGGTTCTTCATAAGCAAAGGGAGCAGCAGGTATCTGACCCATAGGACTCCAGTCTGGTCTCACAAAACCAGGGCTGACAGTTAGAGTGAATCTGAGGATAAGGATGGATGAAATGTCATCAAATCATCCTATAGGTTGTGAAGATATCTCACAGAATGACAGCATGGACAACGAGACTTAAATATAAGCACACAGCACAAAGTTATGATCACTATCTTCTTCATCATGTTGATGACAACAAAGAACTTTTTAAACAGATTATGTGTTTTAAAAGCTTTTTTTGTAAATCTTAGAAACTGTGACTTGAGATTTGACAATCTGTGGAAATACTGTTGAATATGTGTATAATTTTCATGTCTTGAGAAAAAAAAACAGAAAACAAATGATTTAAATCTTTGTTTGACAATATCAATGACTTTGTATATATATATACCAAATTATATTATCTTGAAAACTTTAAATTTTGTTTTAACAACCAAATGTCTACAATGGTGTGCCTGAAGTAGTTATCAAACTTTTGCACACCTGGTATTGTGAATCTTGACAACTCAATAATTGAATTGGGTTGAAGACCTGTGGTAACTTATATTAACTAGGATAACTACTAATTGCAAGTTCCTTGTGTTTAAGTAAGCAGTTATCTCCATTTCCATCATATACTAAATCTATTACAGTAGAAACTAAGGTTACAGCAAAACATAACTTATTCTCTGTTGGGTAGAAAAATACTACAATCAAGTATAACCAGTAGGTTCAGCTTCAGACATCAAAATGTCTTTCAAACTACAGCTGGTCCTCTTCAGGGCAAGTCCTTGAAGTTTATATAGACCAGAAAAAGTTGAGAAACCCACAAACTGAAGATAAAACTTGCACTGTGAATTTTTTATACTCCATCAAGAGTATATCAAGGTGACATGTTGGGACATGATTCAACAATGATATGTAAGCTGTGTTTCTACTTACCTTACAACTTTACTGGTATATCCAAGTTGATAAACAATAGCCATCTGCATAAAGACAACACGTACAGAGACAACGAGGCTATAAAAGTCTTAAGATTTCTAGAGTATTTTGAGAGTGAAAAGTTATCTAAAAGAAATCAGACAACTTTCTAAAGAAAGAAAAAACAGTTCTATAAAAAGGTTATTTGCTTCTTCTGTCTATTCAATGTATAAAAATCAACAGCATGAAAGCATGCAACATTTAAAAGCAACAAAGCTGAATTCTCTGATCAAGTAAAAGTTCTTAAGGGCAACAATAAATAAACTCATTTTGACAAAATTATGTAAATGAATTCTAAGGTATATGTTCAGTATTTTTTCTAAAGTTAAAGGCACTGTTAATATCAATAGAGAAACAGTTAAAAAGTAGTGTGTGTGTGTGTAACAACATATATGTATAAAAATAAAATTACAAGAAACAAAATAATATGCACGTAGCTGAGATTATAATTTAAAGTTAATGCAGATAAACTAAAAATCAAGAAACAGGCTCATTTACAGAGAAAAGTTTTCATTTTGTTTTAACAAGTAATTAATGTATTGAGTAGCTCATCCAACACTACATGTACTAATACCATGAATTTTTTTGGTCTGTTAAACATATTTATTTGATAAAAAAATTAAAAGACTGAATAAATGGGTTGAATTATTTTCTGTCACCATGCAATGTTCTCACTTTTTTTTCAGTTTAAGTTTATTCTTCCCAAGCTTAGACTGGTATGGCTACATTTCCCAAATAAAACTGTACATGGTCTTATTCAGAGCATAAAGCCATTTAACAAAAACAACTGTGATGTATTATTTACTATTCACCTTTTTCTACAGCTCTGGCTCTGTTGAGGCTGGAGCAAGTAATCACTATGCAAGTCCAGTTCATTGGTTGACTTTAGTCCAGAAAACACTAGTTAGCTGTAAATAAAACATCATTTTATCTTCTTAAAATCAACCACTACATGTACATGTGAAATTGTACACACAAAAATGTCTAATAATATAATTTGCATTCTATATTTAAAACAAGAATGTCAAATTGTGTACATACATTAGATCTAGAAAAAAATCATTATTAATAGACATAATTTTAAAGTTTTAGTGTTATATGATCCAAAAGTATTTTTTGAATAAAAACTATTTTTTCATTGTTTATTCATTTTGGGATTGCAAATATTCTTTCATTTTGAGTAGTGGCATTCAACAAGTAATACAAAGATGATAGCAAAGGCAAGCTACTACAAGAAATTGAAAAATTTAATATTTTACTTGAGGGTTACGTGAATAATTAAAGACCTGTAACTAAAATGAGAAAGCATACACAGCAAAATCAATTTAATGTTGGTAATATATGAAAACATCAAAGGCAGCTGTCACACCTCTTGTGAGACTACAGGTACCTTATTTATGTTATTAAAAACTTGACTGGCAAACTACGGAACTGAACAGCTCATAAGAACTTAAAGATATAAATAAACCATTTAAATAATAAGATATTTAAAACTCAAGAGAAGAAAGTATACATTAACTGATAAATATTAATGAAATTATTTCAGATGGTATTTATAAATGTTTAAGTTGGTTATTAGAATTCATAAATTTACATTATTTGTTTTCTGTTAAAGAAAAGAGAATTTAAAATTGAAATGAACACAATTTTGTTGTACTATTCATAAAAATAATTCATTAACTATTTCGATGTATACTTTAACTCTTGATTATTTATTCACTTCATGTTTGAATTGTGTCCTAGGTTTAGCTATATATTAAAAATTGCCAGGATGTGTACCATACCTACAAGTTGTACATGTAACAAGTTACATACGCACTGTACATTTTGTCTTGTCTTGTAATGTTGTTGATTGACACTTATTACTAAGATGGATGTAAAGCCACTACATTACTACTTATAACTGGTTTACTTATGTACAAATAACTTCTTAAAAGTATACTCAAAAAAGATACAGATTTTCCAAGTTCAGACAGAAAACAACAAATTCCTATGATTTTGATACGGTACATTACATTCACTCACATAAATAAATAGAATCCCACATTGAATAGGTGGATGGACCGATGTGAAGGAAAGAAAGAAGCATCCTTTGAAAATGTCCAAAATACACCCCAAAAGAAGACATCCTTGCATTAGAGGATCGTACATGGGAGACTGCACCACAGTATGGAAAGAGTTCATACAGACATGGGTGAAAAATGTGAGGGAAAGAACAATGGGTGAATAGGGATCCAAACCACACAATATCTGAATCTCAATCCCATAGAGTACATAAATGTGATTGAAAGTAAAAAGGATGTGTCCCTAGGTGTAAAGTGGCTAGAGCGTGACTGACCATACACAGCAAGTCAACTGCATCCAAAACCCAGCTGCCAGGAACCGACATCCATTCTGGAGAAGGATGAGGATTATACTGCCAGCAAATCAACTACAATCTAAAGCCCAGCCAGCGGGAACCAACATCTATGTGGGAGTAGGAAAGAGGGTCATACCATCTTCACCTCAAGTTCAGCAGACTAGAAAGAAATCTCATACCCACCCATCTGTTAATGGGGCACGTGATAGCAATATGATAAATTGTTTGACTGATCAAGGAACCCAACATCTGGATTATTGGCATAAGAAAAATGTCCCTGTAATGTAAACATTCCCACTCAAAAACAATCTGACAGGAACCACCCCCCCAATGCAAAAACATTATTGGTATACAAAAAAAATCGAAGGATAGCATAACAGGAAGAACCATATTAATCTGCAAGTGACCCACAACACAGGTGGAATGAACAAGAATATAACTAAGTGAGGGAACAGAGACACCTGTAATACATGTGTGAGGTCTTATGTTGACTGATCCAGCTCTGAATTCAAAACCCAGCAACTGGGAACCAACATTCATGCGAGGGCTCTCTTCAAATGTACAATATCCCCTGGCATAAACCTGTGCAGAGATGAAGCATCAGATTGGAGGACATTTCGTCATCTACACCAGCAGAACACCACCACCTTACTCTCAACTGAATGGTTTCATCATTGTTTGTATCTTATATCACTACCACATTCAGGATGCCTCTGTGGTCCACCACCCCAGCAGCTTGGAACTGGAAAGTGATAAGAACTCCCATCAACACAGGAAACAGTGCAACGGGTGAATACAAAAACTCCTACTTTGAAAAGCAGACCATACCTGATTTATTCAATTGAAGAAATGGCAATGATGGGCAGCTATTCTCTTCTGCCTTACCCAAAAATCCATGAGTAAGTACAATTTGGAATGGGCATATTGTTGAAGCAGATCTTTATCGAGAGGAAAAACTTACAAGTAATTTTGTGGAACACCTCATCTCAACAATGAGCACTGATTGACCATGGAAATTATAAATATGAAGTCAACATGGCCGGACAGTGTAGATTTGATTATTTGGCCAGGCACCACTCACCACAGAGAGCAGGGTCCATACAGGAAAAAAGGGAAATGTCCCTGAAAAATAAGAGGCATACAAAAGATAACTTAACAAGTCACTGTCTCACTAAAGTCTGAAGAATAGTCAAAGGTGGAAGACGATTACCCGACAATGAAAAAACAGTAACCTGATGCAGATATATAGTGAGATGTGAATGTATGTGGTGTGGTCCACATGTACAATTAAAGAATTTCCTCCACAGGGATGATGGAGATGAAAAGCCAGGAAAAAGGTAAGGTACCTAATCTGATGAGAAGACATCTGGAACAAGTTACGGGAAGAAGGAGAGAATCCAAAGTCAATCCAATTAAAGGCCCAACCAAATTGGTAAGGGATGACCAATAGTTCATTAATGGAGGAAATCTACCCTGGAATGAAAAGGCGGGAACGAGCAACACAGAAGGAAGCCACGTGGGCAATATAACAATGAAAAGGGCATACTGGGCATAGTAATCTATCTAGGTCAGCCCAAGGTTACAGGTGGGAAATGGAAGAAAGGGAAAAGTTAACGTCATGATCCGCCAAACTTTTTGGAAGGAAAGAGCAATCTGGATATAGGAGAACATATGAGGTATGAAAAAAGGATATGTGAAAAGTTTATGGCAAATAAATCTGACCTACAATGTCCACAGGCCATGAGGAGAAGGAAATAAGTCTTAAGGGATAAGTGAAAAATTAAACATGGAGACAGAGATTCAAATGGAGGCAAAGTAAGGCAGTGAAGAACCACATTACCATCCCTATCTGGAAGGACTGCATGCTGAGGAAGATGACAAATACAGAAAGAGGTAAAAACTTTAAGGTACTAGGAAAAATTTAAAGTGTGGGATAAGGTAGCCCTACAACCTGCAATCGAGGAGATCGAAGACCCCCAATGAAATAGCCAAGTGATGAGATCCATAAGAAGAGGAACGTGGGTCGAACAGATGACAAATCCATGACCCAAAGATCAGTGGCAGAAAACATTCCACTTATGTTGATAAACATCCATAGAGGAAGGGTGAATGGAACAAGCTAAAAAGAAACAACTTGCTGAGACAATCCAGATATCCTCGCCAAGGACCAGATAAAAACCAGACATGAAGATGGAGGATATGAATGGCTGGATGAAATGCCAGTGACCAAGGTTGACGTAGAAGGGATGGAGTAAGAGCAAGAGGTGATGGTGGGGCAGACTGGAGCTGCAGCAGTCACAGAAACCACAGTTGTTTCAGCCAGTAAGGAGCAATCAGTAAGGACCTGTCATGGCATGGTATGGATGATACCATGGTCTACTGAAGAGACCTCATATGCATCTGACCCAAGGGGATAAGGGCTTCCATAGAAGACCATATCTCCAAAAGAGTTAGAATCTCACAAGCATTAACAGAGAGAGCAGTAAGGACATGGAGAACTGAAGGCTCTATCAATTGGAGTAAAAAAGGAGAAGGTTGGGACCAACTGAGATGAGTGTTGAAAAAACACCCAAGTGGACAGGATATTGGGTAGGTATAAGGAATGCCTTCTCCCATTTGATTAACAAACACACATGAGCTGCCTACAGGAGCATCATATAGGTGTGCTGGGTGAACTCCTGTTTGGAATGAGCAAAGAGAAGGCAGTGATCCATGTAATGGTGTAAGTTGAGAAGGATGAGTTACAGGTTCGATGACTTTCCCTGAAGGGAAGAGACAGGGTGCAAAATTGATAAACTCCCCCTGTGATAAACAAACCGAAGATAGTGCCTCGACAGACTACATATTGCAACATGCAGATAAGCACTTGTGAGATCTACCTTGGTTATCTATAAACCTGGAAAAAAACTCACTGAGAGTGTGAAAAAACTCCATGGTAAATTGGGGCAGAACCAAAAAATGATTGAGGCAGCACAAATCAATTACAGGCCACCAGTCACCAGTATTCTTGGGTACCACAAACAGCCTGGAAAAAACCTGGAGAAGGATGAGTTACACGTATGATGGTTTTCTGGGAGGGAATATTTTATACGCCTCTGACAGACGTTGACTGGTGGTAGAATCCCGAGGCAACAGAAAGGATATAGGTACTGGAGACAACAGAGGAGGGGTAAGGAAGTGGATGTCAAGTCACTCGGATAATACCCAAATAACCCACCGTTGGTGATATGTTCATTGGCATCAAATAATACAATGAAAAAGAAACCTCTGAAGATAGGAACTGGTAAGAGCTGGGAAGGAGCAAGATGGGAAACAGTAATAGGGCTTGTCTATGCTTGGGATGATACAAACGATCAACCAAAGATGAAAGGGTTGACTGCTGTCTCACCAATTCCACATGGTATTCCAAAGACTTAGGAATATTTCTGATAACAGATCACCAGAGAAAGTCCTGGAGATAAGTAGGTGGTAAATGAACTTGAGACAATACAGCATCCATTCCCAGAAGATCCCAACAACATAAAAAAACAGGTGTAAGAAAAGAGCCAA